CAGCCTTGACGTACTCCTTTTTCTATTTGGAACCAGTCTGTTGGTCCATGTCCAGTTCTAACTGTTGCTTCCTGACCTGCATATAGGTTTTTCAAGAGGTCGGTTGGGTGGTCTGGTATTCCCATCTCTTTCAGAATTTTCAGTTTATTGTGATCCACACAGTCAAAGGCTTTGGCACAGTCAATAAAGCAGAAATAGATGTTTTTCTGGAACTCTTGTTTTTTTCGATGATCCAGAGGATGTTGGCAATTTGATCTCTGGTTCCTCTGCCTTTTCTAAAACCAGCTTGAACATCTGGAAGTTCACGGTTCACGTATTTTTAATTAACAAAGGTAGTAAATACCCATTGATTTTTTTTTTTTTTAAAGTAAACTGCTGTGAGAATGGTAGAAAGCAAGTAGTTCCCTATTCCATTGTTGACTGTCACCTTCCATCTATTGCTAATTAGTAATACACTGTATATAGTACAACATATTTTGCTTGTCATGTAATAAGATTAATTTGGTAGAGTGATAAAATGTACCTTTGATTAAAACATATACTGTAATTTCAAATTCATGTTTTCAATAAACAGTACATTTAGTTCAGAAGTCAATAAATTTAGAAAGCTATTCAGTAATGTCCTCCTCCTCTGCTTTCCCTCAGCCACCCAGTTCTTATCACCTTCCCCAAAACAGGTAACTGCTGTTGTTAGCTTCCTTAAATCCTGCCAGAGGTTGTTTTTTAAATGTATATACAAGCAGATGTCAATGTGTTCTTCCCTATCCCCCTATTGTATCTAAATGGAAGCATACTACTTAAGGATTTTAAGTTGCCTTTTTATTTTTTTTAATTGCCTTTTTTTTAAAATTGCCTTTTTATTGATGGATATACTTATTGATTGATATTTGACTATTATAAACAGTGGTGCAATGAACATCTTGAACATACATTGTATAGGTGGGGAAAGTGAGTCTGAGGATAAACTCTTAGAATTGTGTGACTCCTACATGAAAGAGTGCAGGCCTTTGTATCTTTTTACCTTTAAAAGATGCTTTCTTGGTACTTCCCTGGTGGTCCAGTGGTTAAGACTGTACTTCCACTCTATGGGGCCCAGGTTCAATCCCTAGTAGGGTAACTAAGATCTCACATTTAAAAAAAATTTTTTTAAAGATGCTTTCTTAAACATAGTATCCCCAAAATAAGTCTACCTTCTCAAAAAATTTGCATACTAATTTCATAACAGTTTCTCAAGTTATAAATATTCTTACTGTAACCTAAGCAAGTTGATCATTTTGGTAAAAGATTTTTTTAAGTTTAAGACTTAAATTATAAAATTAGTTTTGCATATCAACATAAACATTCTGAACTAAGGAATATGAAAAAAGTGGACAATCCTCATGAAGCTTACATAATCTTAGTTCAGCTTAGTTGTGTCCGACTCTTTGCCACCCCATGGACTGCAGCACACCAGGTCTCCCTGTCCATCACCAACTGGGAAACAAAATGGATAAATATGAAATAATTGAATACCAGACAAGAATTTGAAGCTGATTAATAAACAGTGGAGAACCAAAAATGTCCTTAATCAAGAGAGTGATTCAAAGAAAAGGTTGTAAAATACTCCTTTGCAGCAGTGTTCACTATACATGAAAGGCAGGAGATGAGTAAATACTGAGATGAGGTGTTAGGCATTTCAGTAGTAAAGCAAGTTTAATGGACTTCCCTGATAGTACAGTGGATAGGAATCCGCCTGCCAGTGCAGGAGACACGGGATCAATCCCTGGTCTGGGAAGACTGCACATGCCACGGAGCAATTAAGCCCATGCCCCACAACCATTGAACCTGCACACCCAGAGCCTGTGCTCCGCAAGAGAAGCCATGCACCGCAGCTTAAGAGCAGCCCCCCGCTCTCCATAACTAGAGAAAGTGCGCACATCAACAAAGACCCCATGCAACCAATAAATACATTTATAAAAAATAGTATAGCAAGTTTAAGAAATAGGACAATCATGCTTATTTTCAACTCCATCTTAATTCATTTACTATCTGATACTTTCCTTATTAGCATACTTGTATTACTATATTAATGTAAAGCCAATAGAAATACCTATAACATGTGCTTGTTATAACTACAGTTGTATTAGAGAGACACATGTAAGCAGTTTGGAGTTAACCTGGAATAGATGTTACAGCTGTTGGGGAGAAGGAGATTAATCAGGGAAGAATTAGATTACAGAAGTTTAGAAGTGAAAACAGCCTTAGAGTTTCAGCTTTCGTGTCTTTTTAATCATATTTGTAATAGCAAATGTAATAATCATCCTTTTATCATTTGTAAATATCATATTTGATATTTATAATATCATATTTGTATCCTAGAGTGGAGAAGGGTTTTGAACAAAGCAATTTAATAACAGAGTTGAGACTAGCATTTAGTCTTCCGACTTCTAGTTCAGAGTGTTTTTCCCCAAGTTACAGTACTTGTGCTTGGAAGATCACAGCAGGTTTTGCACAGGTATGACTTTAAAAGTATGTCCCCTAAATGTCAAGGAAAGAGTAAGTACCTAATCTGGTGCTTGACACAGTACTCAAGTGTGTTTAGGAAGCTAAGGATGAAAGTCATGAAGTGACTTTTTTCATTTAGATGTGGTTTCTCCCTTTTAAACTTTATGATACTTTATCCTGAATTCTTATAAGACAGTGACCTTGGCCATACTTATACTGTGTGTATGCCTATTCCTACCTCTAGCTTAAGGCCCAGTCAACTACCTTAACAGCAAGGGCTGGCCTGATTTATCTCTGTCCTCCACGGTGTTCCACATAGGATCTTGAGCAACGGTAGATGCCCTCTAAGTAGTAAAGTAGGTTTGTCTAAAGCAGTTGATGCATTCTGGAAGATCTAAATAGAACAATTCCAGAGGAGGGAAGGGATGTCTGGAGTTGTCTTTATCTGAACTTTCCCAACTACACACGATTGACTTCTGTGTAAAGCAAAGGCTATAGGTCAGGGAAGTTCAGTTCAGTCGCTCAGTCATGTCCGACTCTGTGACCCCATGGACTGCAGCATGTCAGGCTTCCCTGTCCATCACCAACTCCCGAAGCTTGCTCAAACTCATGCCCATTGAGGCAGTGATGCATCCAACCATCTCATCCTCTGTCATCCCCTTCTCCTCCTGCCTTCAATCTTTCCCAGCATCAGGGTCTTTTCCAAGGAGTCAGTTCTTCATATCAGGTGGCCAAAGTATTGGAGTTTCGGCTTCAGCATCAGTCCTTCCAATCAATATTCAGGACTGATTTCCTTTAGGATTGACTGGTTGGATCTCCTTGCAGTCCAAGGGACTCTCAAGAGTCTTCTCCAACACCACAGTTCAAAAGCATCAATTCTGTGACACTCAGCTTTCTTTATACTCCAACTCTCATATCCATACATGACTACTGGGAAAACCATAGCTTTGACTAGATGGATCTTTGTGGCAAAGTGATGTCTCTGCTTTTTAATATGCTGTTTAGGTTGGTCATAGCTTTTCTTCCAAGGAGCAAGTGTCTTTTAATTTCATGGCTGCAGTCACCATCTGCAGTGATCCTGGAGGCCAGGAAAATAAAGTCTCTCACCATTTCTATTGTTTCCCATCTATTTGCCATGAAGATATGGGACCAGATGCATTATCTTAGTTTTCTGAATGTTGAGCTTTAAGCCAACTTTTTCACTCTCCTCTTTCACTTTCATCAAGAGGCTCTTTAGTTCTTCTTCCCTTTCTGCCATAAGGGTGGTGTCATCTGCGTATCTGAGGTTATTGATATTTCTCCCGGCAATCTTGTTTCCAGCTTGTGTTTCATCCAGCCCAGCGTTTCTCATGATGTACTGTGCATATAAGTTAAATAAGCAGGGTGACAATATACAGCCTTGGCGGATTCCTTTCCCGATTTGGAACCAGTCTGTTGTTCCATGTCCAGTTCTAACCGTTGCTTCTTGACCTGCATACAGATTTCTCAGGAGGCAGGTCAGGTGGCCTGGTATTCCCATCTCTTGAAGAATTTTCCACAGTTTGTTGTGCTGCACACAGTCAAAGGCTTCGGCATAGTCAATGAAGCAGAAATAGATGTTTTTCTGGTCAGGGAAGGGAACTCTACAGTAGTCTTTCTGCTTAATCCAAAGTCCAAGAGTTGCTTTTCTACCCGATTTGATTAAACTAACATCGAGTTCTAAGTACTTCACCCTGTGATACTTTTAATGGGGTACAGGAAATGTGAGATAGCCAGTAGATTCTGCAGAGAAACATGCCTCTTTAGGATCTGAGAGAGCAAAGAGTAGACAATGAATGCCTAAATTTTAATCCCCAGCCCAGGAGCTAGGGATGCAGCAGTGAAGATGACGGATGAAAATCCTTGCCATCATCGTGTTTAAATTGCAAAGGACTTAAGGGGAGATAGAAATGATAAATAAGTAAAACATATAGTATGTCAGATAGAGGTAAGGGTTGAGAAAAATGGAGGGAAAGCGGGTAGGATTTATATATGTGTGTGTGTGGGAGGGGTTGCAGTTTTATTTAGTGAGGCCAAAGAAGGCATTTCAGAGAAGATGACATGTGAGTAAAATACTGAGGGGAGAGAAAACTACCATGTTGGGTATGCTGTAACTGCCTCATTGATTACAAATGCACAGCTTCTGGTGGTTCGTAGGCAGTTTGTTCCAATTTGGCATATCCACAGCTCTGGAAAGAATAATAAGGAAGCCAGGTAATGTGGGAAGTTGAAAGGAAGGAAGCCAGGCCAGTTTAAAAAAAACAAAAACAAAAAAACAAAAATCTGGCAGAAGGTAAGAGTAAACTCACCTGTTAGGTCAACGTGCCAGTAGAAAGAAGGGTGGCGGGGTGGGAACCGAAGCCTCCTGTCCCTTTAAAAATGGCGTCCCGGCACGGACCAACAATACCATTGGTTGCGCGAGCAGAGGGGGCGGGCTCGGGGGCGGGGTGCGCGGAGCCGCGGAGTCCCGCCTCCTACGGCAAGTCAGAGGTCGCAAGATGGCCGCGGCGGAGGGGGACGGTGGTGTTCGGGCCGAAGCTGACCGGGAATTGGAAGAGCTTCTGGAAAGTAAGAGCCCGTAATGGGAAAACCCCGAAGAGGGCGGATGTAAGGATCCTTTCAGGGGGTTAGGTAAACCTGCGATGCTTGGGACGGAGCAGGAAATGCTCTCCAAAGGTTGGAAGGGGGCGGAGAGTCTAATTGCGACCCTCGAGATAATCTCTGGGTCACCCTCTCCTTCCTCTGCAGCGGGAGTTGAGGAGTTCTTTCTGGGTCCCTGAACGGCCCACACTGTTGATCTCCCTGCCGGAGGGGAAACTAACCCAGAGGACGTTTCACGATCCCTTTCCAAACTCCCCTTACTTTAGTAAGTTCTTGAAGTCTGACTTTCTTCCCGCCCAGCAGCAGCATTTGGTCCTCGGGGGGCAGCGAACCGAACAACCACGGATTGCTTCCATTAATTATTAGCAAGCCCGTAGTGCGTTCTTCTGTGCACTGTCCTGCCCTCCTTAACAGAAAAGACGCTCCTTTCTTTCTGCCAGTCCTTTCATCCACCGGGCCCCTTTCCAGTTCTTTCATCATGTCGGAGCTCAAACCCTTCCCATTATTTTGAAAAACAGGGTGAGACAGCCTCAGGGGAAGACAGTTAGCTCTTGAAAGAAGCTGGCTTGTACTTTTCCTCCTCAGCCCTGCCATCCACTCCCCTCTGGTTTGGTTTCATGCCCAGAGTGGGGCTGGTATCTTCCCCCTAGGCCTGGCAGATATAGTGGTGGTGAGAACACAGGCTTTTCAGGGTAGAGGTCAATATTTTTTGTCTCTTGCTCAGTCACAGAGTGAGCAGGCGGAAAGATGAACAGATATGGTGAGAAGTGCTAAGTGACTGTGTGAGTCTGCCAAGATGAGGCCACGGGGAGCTCTAGGAACTCTGTGGAGGGAGACCTAAATTGAAGGAGAAAAGAGAGTTCAGTGCCCTCCGGTGGAGTATAATATGGAGTCCCTCAGTTTTACCAGGACCCATGGGAAGCTGGGTGAAACATCTTAAGGCTTCTGCTCTCTTGCCAAAGATTATTCCTTGTGGGGCTCCAGAGTGAGTTCTAGGGGGTTAAGGACATCTGTGTTATCTGTTCCCCTTGAATATCTGTATGAGATTTCTAGGAACCATTAAAGTATGGCAAAGAGGCATTGTGTAGATGAACTGTCGTCTTACAGCTTTGAGAGATGCTTTTTCCACCTTAAGGGATTTCTTCCCCTATGAGTACAATAAATTAGGTAATAGCAGAGGGAGGGAGAAGCTTATTGAGGAGTGGGTCAGGAGAGGGAGACTCAAAAAAAAGGAGAGCATTTTAGGAAAGTTGGCAGCTTGAAAGATTGTTTTCTAAATGCTTTGCTCAGAAACCCCTCTAGCCTTGCATTCTCATCCATCACCAACACATACACTATGTCTCTTGTCTCTGAAGGTGCTCTTGATGATTTCGATAAGGCCAAACCCTCCCCAGCACCCCCTCCTACCACCACGGCCCCTGATGCTTCAGGGCCCCAGAAGAGATCGCCAGGAGACACTGCCAAAGTATAAATTCCACCCACTTGAGGGATGGGGAGGGGATGGGCATGCAGCTCCAAGCAGAGGTGGGGCAGGCCCTTGTGGGCCAGAGGGGAGTTGGGGAGGGTGCCTTGGCCTCACATTGCTGAGTGCTCTTGCAGGCCTCAGTCCTTGTGAAACAAGGACTTGAGATTGAGTAGAGGGATCTCAAAGAAGTTCTTTAAGAAAAGAACAGATTTAAATGGATTGGGAATGCCATTCCATAGCCTTCCCTCAGTGGCCAGATGCCTTTTTGCTGTTCTCATAAAGAGAAGTAGTCAGAATGTCCAATGGAGGTGGGTAGGAGGGAAGCACTGCATCTCCCAGAGCCACTGCCTGTGGCTTCTGTCAGAAACCATGTACAGTGGGGTACCAAGTAAGAGATGTATTTTGGCCACATTCTCCCCTGTAGGATGCCCTCTTCGCCTCCCAAGAGAAGTTTTTCCAGGAACTGTTTGACAGCGAGCTGGCTTCCCAAGCCACTGCAGAGTTTGAGAAAGCAATGAAAGAGTTGGCTGAGGAAGAGCCCCACCTGGTAGAGCAGTTCCAAAAGCTTTCAGAGGCTGCTGGGAGAGTAGGTAAGGAGGGGAAACAATGGGAAATATCTGAACAAACCTCTTGGGTTATTGTCCCTTGACAACACCAAAATTTTTTGTAAAAGTTGATAGCAATTATACCACTGCCATGGGATGGGGGAGGAGATGGAAGGAAAAATGAGACCCTGTTTAATGAAAGGGATGAGATAGGTTGGAAAGTAACAGAAAAGATTATTTAAAAGTGATAATTTTAAAGATCAGTATTAATGTGGGTGTCATTATAGAGAACAAACTGAGACACAGTCCATGTAGATTTGTGAAAATAACTATAAAGATAAACATAGAGTATTCAAAGATTTGGAGTGTAGTAATTTACTAATAAATGCTCCATGTCCAAGCTGGTAACCAGGTCAGTCTAAGCAAGCAAACAGTTAAAATCCTAAATGACTTAGGCGCTTTTCATCTCTCCTAGGCAGTGATGCGACTTCCCAACAAGAATTCACCTCTTGCCTAAAGGAGACATTAAGTGGACTAGCCAAGAATGCCACTGACCTTCAGGTGAGGGGGAAGAGATAGGGAACCACAAGGGGCCCACTCACAGAGACTTCACCAGCAGAGTCTCAAAAGACAGACTCTCTTGGCTATCATCTCAAGTCTGTTCTTGCCTCACTATTTTGCTACAGGCACATTTAAATAGTTCTTTCCCACCTGAAAAGTTGGTAAGTGTCCCAAGAAGATGGTATGCTTGCTCATTTCTCTTCTGTCCTTTCTAGAACTCTGGCATGTCAGAAGAGGAGCTGACCAAGGCCATGGAAGGGCTGGGTATGGACGAAGGGGATGGGGAAGGGACCATCCTCCCCATCATGCAGAGCATCATGCAGAACCTACTGTCCAAGGATGTGCTGTACCCGTCACTGAAGGAAATCACAGAAAAGGTTTGTGAACTTCTGTTTGTGCTTTTCCTCCTTACTCCTCATTGTATCAACTCCCATGGGCTACTTTGTTTATTTAGAGACTGTAAAGACAGAGTAACTCAAGTGTACACGTTCATCTGTTTTTTTTCTCCTTTATTTATTTGGAGGGGAGAGTTAGGGAGGAGTTGTGTCTCCAAGAGAATAAAGCCACTTTACTGAGGATATTTGAGGTAGAAGGGGAAATCCTTCAGCTCTATTAATAGTTTTCTGTAAACTAGTCTAAGACTCTGTTGTTGTCTGATCAACTTCTTCTTGCGTTTCCAATTTCATTCATTTCTCCAACAAGATTTCACTGATGGTTTACTGACTTTATGCTGTGAACAATTTTTAGAGTAGTTTAAATGATGGTCTCTGCCATCAAAGAGTTTATAGTGTTACTAGAGAGACTTTTAAAAGTTGTTAAACACCAAAGAAGGAATATGTGACTGAAACCATATGTGGCCCTTAAAGCCTCAAATATTTACTGTCTGGCTCGTCACAGAAAAAGTTTTCATCCTCTGGTGACCATAAATGCTAGCATAGCCAGGTGATCTGATTGAAGTCCATGCTGCTTCTCATGCTGAACTTGCTTATTTAGTTTTTCCTTCTCCTCTGTTTCTGGCCCCCTCATGTTCTTAGTATTTTATTACCCTTACTTATCCATTGTTCACTTAATTCTTCACCACCCATTCTCTGTTTACTTAGTATCCAGAATGGTTGCAGGCTCACCGAGACTCTCTACCTCCAGAGCAATTTGAAAAATATCAGGAACAACATAGTGTCATGGGCAAAATATGTGAGCAGTTTGAGGCAGAGACCCCCACAGACAGTGAGGCCACTCAGAAGGCTCGTTTTGAGGTGGTGCTGGATCTTATGCAGCAGGTAAGGCCTCCTTTTGCTGTCTGCCTGCTGCTGCTGCTGTCTGCCTGGGTGTTCATTGCAGGAGGATCCTGAAAGGAGGCCCCACTGCCAAACCAAAGTGGGGGAGGGAGCACAGGGGAGGCTGCGAAGCACGGCCTTAGCTCGTGTTCCTCTTTCTTTATGTTCCAGCTGCAAGATTTGGGCCATCCTCCAAAAGAGCTTGCTGGGGAGATGGTGAGTATACCGTCTTGTATACTTTAATATGAGCCCAAGTTTCCATTATTCTGTAACCTTTAGTGATTCCACCTAAGGCAATAATAGTGGCTGCAGGGGATAGACCTTCAAAAGCTCTAAGTTTCTGAAATGGAAGGAGTTATCTGAGTCCCTTCATCTCTTCTCCAGCCTCCTGGCCTCAACTTTGACCTGGACGCCCTTAATCTGTCGGGCCCACCAGGTGCCAGTGGCGAACAGTGTCTGATCATGTGAAACACAGCACGCTTTCTTCCCTGATTCCCAGCCGTGGGGGAACGTCTGGAGTCAGCAGAACCACTGAGAACTGAGGCAGGAGTGTCGTCTCCCGGAGTGGCTGCCCACTGCCATCTGTCATCCCACCCAAGATTGTGCCATACCAGCTGAGGCTTTTTTCTCTTTGTAGGAATAAGGCCTGTTCTGCAGATCATTACTGTGAACCCTTTCCATTGTAGTTTCTGCTGCTAGCAAAGGCCCAACTACCTTCCAAGTGAAGGAAGGCGACTCTTTTGGGGCAGGCATCTTTTTCCCTCTCCCAAAGTAATGTTCCACAGGGCCACACTGATGTTCACTTTTGTATGGGGTCTCCATGCCTTGTCTCCACTCCCTCTCTTGGACCTGGGCAGCAGGGACAGAGCCCTCAGACTCTGTGTTTCTGTCCTTCTCTTAAGCAGGGCCTTTGGGAATGCGTGCGAGAAACAGCCTGGGTGGGGGCCGTAGGTCTGTCACCACACACTCTTGCCTTCAGACTGTTCTGAATTCTCCAAAGTAAGTGGGGGGCTTTTGCATCTAATTACAGGTTGAAAGAGAAGCCCTGGAATTCTCTCTCCAGGTACAGAGTCCTCAGCTCCCTATCCAGCCTGAGAACTCCAGCAGCTGCCCTGGTTCTTTCTATAATGCTATGTGATCTGGGTGAACTCAGCCCTTGACCTTCCTTTACCCCCTGCCTCTCCTCTCATCTCTCTACTTTAAATACTTCTTTATTCCAACCCTTGTCTGAGCCCAAACTGTGACAAAAAAGGGCCTGTCTTTGTCCTGTTTCCCCTGTTCGAGTCCATCCACCACTCTCACCAGTCCTGGCTATCTCGCTGGCAAGCGTATATAATTATAGTGTCACGTCTAGGAAATGAATGACTGTTCTTCCCCAGTTGCATACAGTTTTCTTTTACACATTCTCACTTCTGATTTTGAATGCTGCCCATGGATTCAGGGAGGTAGCCTGGAAAAAGGGGGGTGGGATGTAGCCTGCGCCCTTTTTCCTGACGAAAAAATATTCTGAGTGAGGACCATAGCCTGTATTTCATCCAACTCTTTTCCTAATCTTTCTTAGTTTCTCTAAGCTGCTCTGTGAGGTATGTTAGCTTAACATTGCTAGGTTCTACCATCACCTCTCTTCCCAGCTCAGTCTGCACTTCAGTTGGTAGAGCAGACTGAATGACCATCTTTCCTCATTTTCTCTGTTTTTGAAGCCTTTCAATTGGTGTTGTATTTTAACATTTTACATTATTATGTTATTGTTAGTAATGTATTGTTAACATGTTTTCTAAATTTTTTTTTTGGAGCTGACCTTGCCTTCAGATCCACTGGGAGCCAGTGGATCTGTAGATCTTGGGTGCCACATGTTGGCAGATATTCTGGTTCAGACCAGCTGGCTATCCTGGTTCAGCACTCAGAAAATAACTACTGGAGCAAATTTGTACTTAACCATTTGTGGCACTCTGATCACCTGACATGACACTTTCCCTTGGGTTAAGACTTTTCTCACCTTAAGGTCCCCGACACATTCTGTGGTATCGGTGAGGAGGGTAATATTTTTAAGACCTCAGGCTGTTTAGGAAGGTCCAGCTATTGTACTTTAGAGTAGGGAAGAGCCCAGGTTTGAGTCCAAGACTGCTCGCCTCTACAAGAGATGGGAAAGTACAAGCAGACTTGTGATGATGGTCACAGGACATGAATGACCAAAATTCTCTCCTTTTGCTCTAGCCAAAAACTGAACACAGCTGGGCAGGGAGGTGGGAAGGACAAAAGGGCCCTACCCCTTGACCTGTGTGCCAGTGTTCTTGTACACATTCTCACTTCTGCCGGCCTGGCCAGGACTTACTCCAGGAACCTAAACAGATACCACCTTAGTTTTGTTCCTGAGACATTTATTTTCATTTTGATTGAACATGAATAGATTGGCCTCAGGTTACTGTCTGTTCCAGAAATACTATTTGAACTATTCTAGGGCTCATGGAAAGATAGAGCTGTCTTTCTCAAACTGGTAAAGGTCCTTTGGTAAAGGACCAGGTGTTTTGTTTTATAAGTATCCTGTCCTTTGTCCAGCAGTATGTTTTCCATATGCACAGTTCACATTGTTGGCTACCCACCGTATAAGTTTGACAACACCAAATTAACCAAATCCCTTCTGCCTGATAAAGCCACTCCTTATGCATTCAGATATTACAGCACTGTCAGAATGCTAGGGACTTCCCGGACAGTCCAGTGGTTAAGGCTCGACACTCCCAATGCATAGGGCACCAGTTTGATCCCTGGTCAAAGATTTAAGATCCCACATGCCACATGGCACAGCCTAAATAAATAAATATGAAAAAAAATGCTAAAAAGTTTCTAAAAACTGAATTTCTAACTCCTCTTGTCACAGACTGGTAAACTCACGGATCAGTACAAATTTCCAGCCACCTGAATAGCTCTGCTCTGGGGCCCTCAGTCTCTCCACAGCTGCATCAGCCAAATAGATACATTTCTATGCTTGTTCCAAGTGAGTGTTGCTTTTAATGAACTTTTTCTTTAGCTAGAATATGTAACTGTAAGGAAGTTTCTAGTGTTTTTCTAGCCTTCCTTTTGCTACTTAAAATAACCATTACAAAGCTTAGCTTTCGGTTGTGCATGAAGTGTTTATGCTACTGTCAGACTTTAAAGGAAAATGCCCCCTTGTTCCAAAATTCTGTACATTAGAGAACAAATTCATGGTTGTTTAGATGGTTTAATGAATTAAGAATCAAGTTAATGCTGTGATAATGGGGTCAATTTCCTATGACTTTTGGAACATCCTGGTAAGGGCCCCACCTGTGTGTACTAAGTCAGCTCAGTTGTGTCTAACTCTGCGACCCCGTGGATTGTTGCCTGCCAGGCTCCTCTCTCCATAGGATTCACCAGGCACAAGAATGCTGGAGTGGGTTGCCATGCCCTCTTCCAGGGGATCTTCCTGACCCAGGGATCGAACCCGCAGCCCAAGGATCCCATGAGGCACTTATAATATGCTATTGAGATGGCTTTTTGGGAGCTTAGGAGAAATGATGGTCCACAGTAAATCAGGTAGAGATGATAGACCATATGAGAAGTGATCAAAAGTCTTAGCGGAAGTATGTATGCAAGAATGAATGTATATTTCACTGGAAAATCCACCTGCTGACTGTTTCTCAGGAAGGCCTTGGGAAAATTTTTTATTAAGGAAAGGCCCTGATGAAGGGGTCATCAGCATGTTTGAGAAGTTAAGAAGGGTTGTCTTTGGGTGGAGGCTGATGGAAGAGGATTTCCCTGGTAGTGGTCAGGATGATAGGATCCTAGCATTTGCCTCTGAAAGCAGAGACCAGATGGCAATACTTCACTCTCAGAGGCAGAGTGAATGAATTTCCGTAAGGGCAGCATGGTCAAAGAGGAAGAGACTAATGGAAAGTGAGTCCTCAAGGCCATAGGTAGACAGTCAAGGAGAATAAATCAGTTTACATATAATTAAGAGTAATAACCAAGAATGGTTGAACAGAAGACTCAGGTCAGTAACTTCAATGAAAGGTCACAATTCCTTGCCCAGTTTCTAGGCTTGAGACAGTTTTCAGACTAAACCTCCTCAGTTGACTACATCATTTACTTAGTTAACCACACACTCAGGAAAGAAGACTATCCACATTTTTTTAGTTGGAAAAAAAGGATACAGGGTCTGAGTTGACACAGAAACCCAGGGACTTAGAACACTGCCACACACCTCCTATCCCTGCATCCCCCTACCCCAACCCAATTACAGTAGGAAAATATGGGATCAGATAATAAATGGAGTGCTTGCCCAAGTCTGTCTCACAGTAGGTCCAAAAACCTATAGTCATTTTTCCAGTTGCCATAGGTAATCAGAATGGACATATTTGGCAGTTGTCAGAAAGCCCAAGTAGAACCCCCTAAAACTACACCCCACCTCTGCCAAGAATAGTAAATAGGTAATAGCGCATTCTGGGGAAAATGGCAGCAGTTAGTTACACTCAGTTAAACGGCACAGGGTATCGGTCCCCATCATGTCCTTGTTTAGTCTCCCCCTCTGACCCTTGCAAACACCGAGTGAGATATGCTGGACTAAATGGACTGCTGTAACCTTGCACAGTTAGTAGTCCTGACCCTTACAACTAGGACTTGATATTCTGGTTGAACACAACGAATCTTACATTGGATGAGCTTCATCTCTGGCTTGTAGAGATAACAAGACTCTTCACCTGCACATGTTGAGTCCACGAGAGGAACACACTCCCTTGTGGGCCGTCTTCTAAGAGGCTGGGCATGTTTGCTGGAGAGTGGCACAGCTGCTGATAAGGTAAAGTGAGAATGAAGTCGCTCAGCCGTGTCTGACTCTTAGCGATCCCACAGACTGCAGCCCACCAGGCTCCTCCGTCCCTGGGATGCTCCAGGCAAGAGTACTGGAGTGGGGTGCCATTGCCTTCTCCACTGATGTAGGTATGTGGCTCTTAATTTGTACTATTTGGCTTTTTTTTAACAGAAAGTTTCCCAATCTAGTGAGTATGTTCTTTCAGTATTAATCAGGAAGAAAGTATCAGAAGTAGTTGGAGTTGCAGTTGATGGTCAACAATATATGTTTTGGTTTTAATATAGAGTTATGTTAGTTCTCTCTCTCTCTGTCACAGTACAGTCCAAAAGAATCGATATTCTGTAATATATCCCATTTATTTGCTTTATTAAGCTTATGCTACTCAGGTATTGAGGATGTGCTAATCAGATCTGATGAACAAACAGTATCAATTATTCTGGATTCTTTGAGACACATACACTCCAGAGGGTAGAAGATAAATTCTTCAAAAGATGCAGGGCCCTGTCATGTTGGTTAAGTTTCTGTGTGTCCCATGATCCTTTCTAAGGTAAATATAAATTACTGTATCTTGTGCCTTTTACCCTAAGAAGCACAATACCTTGGTAGGCATATTACAGCTTTGGAGGCAGCATAGTCTGAGCTTGGG